GCTGGGCTGGCGACAGCATTTAGTAACTCTGAGTAACTCCAAGAGCTGGAGGAGGTGAAGGCGGGATGTGCTTGGGTCTGGCACAGGTGTGGGGCTGCATGGGGACCACACACCCTGGGACAGGGAACAGCATCCTCCTTCCAGTGGGGTGGGAGAGGCGAGGGAGATGCTTTTTTTCAGAAAGAGGAGTGAACTGGAGTGCTGGAAGTGCCAGGCAGTGGTGTTACGGAGGGTGATGTGTGCCCCAGCAGCCGCCGTGCCAAGCAGGAAGGCAGCGAGGGCTGGGGGCAGCGCGGGGTCATGCACAGGCCGATGGAGGGGGGCTTGGGCAATCTGGGCTGTTGCTTTCCAGTGGGGCGATGGGCAAATTCATGTGCTCCTTGGGGCAAAGCCTCCTCCTGCTCTCTGCTGTTTGCTTCCCTAGATGGGCTCCTTGAGTAAGAAGGAGCTGCGTGGGGACCTCGAGTATTGCGAGCACGGACACTTGCCTAGAGGAGAACCCTTATGCCAGCAAAACCGCCTGGCTTTGAAAGCCTGCGAGTTATCTGGCATCAGGTGTCAGTGCAGGGCAAACAGTAGCCAAGTGGGAAGCTCTTCCAGAAGAGATTTGTTCTGGAACAGCTTTCTCAGCGGAAATATTTTGGCCCATTTCCTTAATGAGACAAACCACCCTTGTAACTCCTAACACAGAGGCAGATGCACCGGCTCAAATCTGGCAGGAAGGAGACTCTCATTTGACCTGCTGAGTGCAAACGGGGCATGTTCGTAGATGAGGATGGAGGAATTTCGGAGGGGAATGAGGTTGCATCCTGCACCCGTGCCTCTCAGGCAGGTTGGGGTGGCTGGGGAAGCAGCGTGTCCCCTTGTGCCACCATGCCCCGGCCTGGCGGGTACCCCCTCTAACCTTGCTGTGCCTCTCTCCTTGCACAGAAAACTCGGTGGCAGCCAAATCGGGGGGCTGCTTCCCTGGCTCGGCCACGGTGCACCTGGAGCAAGGCGGCACCAAGCTGGTGAAGGACCTGAGCCCCGGGGACAGGGTGCTGGCAGCCGACGCAGAGGGCCGGCTGCTCTACAGCGACTTCCTCGCCTTCCTTGACCGGGAGGACGGCTCCCACAAGCTCTTCTACGTCATCGAGACGCGGCAGCCCCGGGCCCGGCTGTTGCTGACGGCCGCCCACCTCCTCTTTGTGGCCCCCCAGCACAACCAGTCCCAGGAGGGGACCCCCAGCAGCCAGGCGCTCTTCGCCAGCCGCGTACGGCCGGGCCAACGGGTCTACGTGTTGGGCGAGGGCGGGCGGCAGCTCCTGCCAGCGGCCGTGCACAGCGTCTCACTGCGGGAGGAGGCTTCAGGGGCATACGCCCCGCTCACCGCCCAGGGCACCATCCTCATCAACCGGGTGCTGGCCTCCTGCTACGCCGTCATCGAGGAGCACAGCTGGGCGCACTGGGCGTTCGCTCCCTTCCGCCTGCTCCAGGGGATGCTGGCCGCTCTCTGCCCGGGGGGGGGGGGCCCCGGGGGGGCCCCCCCGCCACTCCCGGCATCCACTGGTACTCTCGCCTCCTCTACCGCATCGGCAGCTGGGTGCTGGATAGTGACTCTCTGCACCCACTGGTTATTTGTTCTTTTGTTTTGTTGTTTTGTTTGTTGGTTTTTTTTTTTCCTCCTCTCCTGGATATTTATTTCTTTGGTATTTTGAATAGATGTTTTAAATGATATGAACCGGACCTTCAAGAGCCTAAAATAGTTTCTTTGATAATTTATTATCATGTGAACTGTACTCACAGGGGAAAAATTATTTTGTGAGGCCAAGCAAAACTGCGCAGAGTCTATTTTTCTACATGTCACGTGTCCTGACTTTCAGAAAGCAAAATTCTGTACTTTCCCATCTCTCCATTACATTGCTCCTTTTTCAGCAAGATTTCTTTGGTATTTTGAATAGATGTTTTAAATGATATGAACCGGACCTTCAAGAGCCTTAAATAGTTTCTTTGATAATTTATTATCATGTGAACTGTACTCACAGGGGAAAAAATTATTTTGTGAGGCCAAGCAAAACTGCGCAGAGTCTATTTTTCTACATGTCACGTGTGTCCTGACTTTCAGAAAGCAAAATTCTGTACTTTCCCATCTCTCCATTACATTGCTCCTTCATTTCAGCAAGTCTAAAAAAACAAGCAAGCAAACAAACACAAAAAAAAGACAAACTTCATGGGGGTCCGTAAATTATATTTTTATACACAGAATTGTAAATTAGATTTTTTTGAGAGATCAATACTTAACTGAATCACATTTCGTTTTTTGAAATAGTGTAAAATATGAGAATATATTATTTTAATTTAAATAGTTTCAAATGTAACGTCATTTCCTGTATTGTTTTCCATGTTTTGCTTTGTAAAAACACCATTTGGCCACGTTCATGGAAGTCAAGACTGTTACACAAACTTTTTATTTGCAAAAACCGTAAGAAACTTTGTTATTTTTAACTTCAAAAAGAAATTTATTAGAAAATAATATTTTTTAAAAAGCGCACATGGCAGCAATTCTGTGATGATGGAGACGGTAGTTTTTACAGAGGGGAGAAAAGGATGTTTTGCATTAATAAATTGAGAAATAACTGCTGTAAATTTACTAAAATGTATTTTTGAATATTTTGTAATAGTTTTAATAGTTTTATAGAAATAAAATGTGCCATGCACAGTCTGGTTAGTATAAAATAACTAAGAGTTCCTGGTGCATCCCATTTTTTTTTTCCTTTTTGCTTATTGGTTTAGGAAACATGATGCCTAAAGGAGTGCCCATTATTTTATTTAGATGTGTTGCTTATAACTTTTAATTTTGGTACTTTAATTAAGGAAATGAATCCATCACATCCGCGCGTAACCTGGAATATCTTGTACTAACAGTAGAACCTCACTTATTTGCACGAGCGACTGGGAGACGCGGTTTCCCTTCGCCGGAGCCCCGGCTCCCTGTCCGTGCCCAGGCGATGCTCCCCTCTTCCAGCTCCAGCCCAGGCTCCGTGTCCACCTCCCGGTCTGGTCTGGAGACCGCAGATGGCTCTTAAAATTGATTTCTGAGGGCGTTAAATCAAGTTTGCCCTTTGAAGCATGTGCTTCTGAAGGCAGGCAGCTGCCTTCACCTTGTGGCGGCACCAGGATTTTAATGGCTTTTAATTTGGGTGCCCGGAAAATGGAAATCTGGGGGAGAGGCACTGATGTTGGTGAATTAACTGGGATTCACGTGGCTGATGCTGGAAGAAGGAGATGGCCATCAGATTTCACTGGCCACCTTGCCTGAGTAACAATGCGGGGCCTGGGGCCACCAAGAAAAGAACAAAACACCCTTTGCAAAAAAAAAAACCCGGATAAAAATTTGTTCATTTATTCTGAGAGACATTCCTTAGCTGTAACGCATCAGAGTCTGTCCCAAGCCATTGATGGGTGAAAGTATTGGAGATGTGTTTTAGAAGCCAAGTGGTGGGGCCAGTGCTGCATCCCCTGCCTGGTCCCAGCCCAAAGCCCCGCTGAGGGGCTCGTCCTCAACAGGTGCTGATGAGTGAGGTTCTGCTGGGCCACGTGCTCCTCTCCGGAGGGTTTCCAGGATCCCTTTAAAAATTTTGCAAAACATTGTGTGTGCGTGTGTGTGCGCGTCTGCGACAGGACTGTGCTGGAAGGGAGCTTTCCTTGAATGTCTTCTTACCTTTTCTTCAGTTTCCATTACTTGCCGGTCTAGGACGTTCATCCATCAGGCAGCCTTTTGCTCCAGAGACGCAGCCACGTCCTCCGCCGGGATGGACGGCAGCTCCGGGTGGCCTCCTGGGATGTCCCTGCCTGGGGCCACCTCCAGAGAGCATAGACCATGCTCTTCCACACTGAAAGCCTGGGAGCTTCTGGAGAGGTGCCAGGAGCTGGTGGCCGAGCCCCGGGCACGAGCACCCCTGTGTCAAGCCCTAACAGATGGATATGGTCTCTTCTTCCCGGCAGCTTCTAGTCCAGGGCCACTTCCACCCTCTGAAGCTCAGACATGGCCGGGGTGGTGAGGTTTCGGTGCGACCACCAGCGTGCTGCAATGCCTGTGGGGACCGCTGGGATAGGAGCTAAGCCACCCTAATGCCTACATGGTGTGGGGCATCACGGGGGACTGTGGACTGCCCAGTGGGTGCTGGGGACCTGCTGCCCACCCCGGTTCGGACTCTGCCACCTCCGTGTCTTTGGGGTCTGCTGGTGCATCGGGGGCTGCAAACGTGGCTGGTTTGGGGCATGTAAAAATGTGATCGTGGAACAAATGAGTCTCTGCTGTAAGAGTCTGGCCTTTGTACGGCAGTGTCTGGGCATCTGAGCTCTCTTACCCCTGTCTCTGAACAGTGGCTGGCATTTTGTAAAGCCTTTACACTCAAAAAACGACCGTGTTGGAGCCTACCTTCTCCAGAGGTCAGGCGGTGGAGGTGTTTAGGGATGTCAGTGATCAAACCTAAAGCTGTGGCTTGGGGGCTTTGGTCTAAATCGTAACTGAGATGAAAAAGACCCATTAGACCAGAGCTTGTGTCAGGGTAGGGTACGTGCCCTGGTAGGGACCAAATCAGACATTGCCGTATTTAATCTTCACCGAAAGGCCGAGGCTAGCTCAGAGCTTTGTGGTGTGGGAGAAGCTAAGATGCTGTCTTATACTAGGATCAACCTGTTTCACCAAGCAAAGAAATGCTGTGCCGTCTTCTCCATCGCACGTATTTTGGGTGACTGTATGCCTCCCTCTCACCATATATTTATCACATCTCTTCCTTCGGCGCCTCACGTCCGGATCACCCCTCTGTGGTATGCGTTAGAAGTGCTTCGTTAGATGGACCAATCCAACCTATAGCTACAGCTCTCGTATGAAGGATGTACTGTCATAACATTGTGCAAAACATCTAGGAGATGTCACCGTCCATTTTCAGGGTCCGAGTATGGCAATAGTTTGTATAAAATGTACACATAGTGGTGGCTACAGAATAGTTTATGACTAAATACATATCTATTACTGTTAAAATAATGTATAAGAGTGTACTTGAAGCTATTATCCTTGTGCTCTGTTGTCTGAATAATTAAAGAAATTACAGAGACTTCCTGAAATGTCTGTTATGTGACGGCATTCCTATCGCACGCTCTAAGCTCTGTGGTTTTTCTCCCAGTGACATTGAAATGGGGCGTGGGGAGCCTGGAGCTCAGTCCTGTGGGATTTGGCATGGGACCTTTCAAACATGGCAGCAATTGTGTCCGTGTTGCTTCATGTGATGGTGGCATCCTCCCTCTTCTTCCACCTAGACCCATGTAGACAGTCTATCATTTACCTGCGAAATACCGCGTGACTCTGCAAAGCCAACTCATTTGGCAGGGTTTTGTGGGGAGACAGAGATGCCCTGAAGGTCAGCCTATCAGCAGCTTGCCTGTCCTCCCCAGCCTCCCCCATCCAAGCCAACGTGAGAAGTGACCCTAATGAGACTGAGGCTATTTTGTGTTTATCTAACCGGTCTTTCACGCAGTGCCCCGGTGCTCAGACACCAGGTAAACCAACTGAAGGGAAGCTTGGATGCACCAGCAAAAGAGGGTCACATCCATGGTGCAATTAAAATCCAAGCCAAGCACCGGAGTAAACCAGGTCCTTCACATCCAGGTAGCCGTGCCGTGCCACAGCCAGCAGCTCTTTGTGCCCTCACATATGAAAGTTTGCTTAGCTATATCTTTTTATATATATATGCACATGTATGTATACATATATAATATTATTATCCCTATATTAAGAGCTCAGCATATCCTACCAGGCTATAAATGTGTTTATGTTGGCCCTCCTGAGCATTTCACATCACGCCGAGGTTGAGCAGGCGATGTAAATCAGCCCAGTTGGGTGATAATTGGGTAGCAGTTTTGCAACTCCAGTACAACATCTATTTCAATTACAGGGGGAAGGAAATCAGAAAGAGCATTTTATTTTACTCATTACTGCAAGCCATAAGGGACCACTAGATTTCCTAAGCTTTTGAAATTCTCTCTTCAGCAGTTTCTGCCTTAAAACTAGTGCAAACTTTACCGAAAAAAAAGGTCAATTTTCCATGTACAGAACATTTCAGAGCTTTCAATGGAGCAGTGTTAATGCTATCCTTGGCCTACGCAGGCTGAAAGGGAAAAAAATAATCTTTAAAAAGTGCATCTTTATAAGCGATGGGATTGTCTCAGATTTTGATGGGAGCAGGATGAAGCCTGCAGACACTGTTTATGCCGAGATTGTTAAATATAATTTTTAACACTTTGCATTTGGGGTGTTTAGGCTTATGTATTTAAATAATTTTGGTTTTCAGGACTGAAAAGAAGCGAGCAAATCCAGGAAATATGAGTTTAATAATCCTGTCCTGGTTCCAGTAAAATCAAAAGCAGCATCCAGAGCTGATCCGGGTGCACAGGGAGTTGTGCTTTTACCTTAAAGCCCAGTGCAGGACCCTATATAACTTCTTTTCTTTCCATTTTTAAGTGAGAGCAAGCCAGCTCTTCGGACAAATATTACTGCAAATCAGGAGTGAAACCACAAGGTCAGGAAATCTGTTTGGGGTAAAAATATTTGTTTTGATGTCCTGTGACCTAAATGTGAAATAAATATTAGATTTGCTCAGTTTGGTGTAAACAAATGTCCGTTCGTATTACCGGGGAGGAGAGGTGACAAGGGATGCTCTGTGTGGCGTGACCGCGGAGGGTCCCTTGGCCACCAAACTCGCATCTGGCTGCTGCCCAAGGGCAGGAGGGCTTGGATGTGGGCAGGGGAGCAGGGATGCTGTGGGAGCACCGTGTGCTTTGTGCGGCTCTGCCCAGCTCACTCGGCTCCGGGGACGGCACAGGGACCCCTTCCTGACCCCATCGCTGGGGCAATGCTTGTCTGGACCAGCTCTCTGGGACACCACGATGTCTCCCATCGGGGATGTGCTCACAGGAAAAATATACTTGGGAACGTTGTATTGTTCCAAGTCTTGAGTCTTTTGATGGCATTCACTGCAAGGGAACGGATGATAAATCTGTATGCAATTACAGCAACATCCTTTTGGTATCATGACACACAGGCACTATGTCACAGACCTGTCATAGGGTTTCATTGGGTGGAGGAAGCTTATTTTACAAGCAGGGTACAGCTCAGGCTTTGGCTAGTTTGGAGCATTAAAATATTTCATGAGCTTTTTTGAAATACTTTAGGCTGGAAGGGGCCTCTGGTGGCCCCGGGTCCAAGCCTGGCCCATACGGCGCCGGCTTAGAGCAGGCTGCTGGAGGCCGTCTTCTGTCAGTGTCTTCAAGGATGGAGAGCCACCATCCCTCTGGGTAACTGGTATTGTTAAATAAGCTAACATTTTGCCTAAATATTGCAGTATTGCATTCCATCTACCAAGAATCTTCCTTTATATTCTCTTTGTATTTCTTCTGGGGGGAAAGAGCCCCAAGAGTTAAAACAAGATTAGTTTTAAGAAATCCCAGATTCAAAATCTGGGACATTCAGAGTTCTGCTGAGCTCTGCTTCAGCTCCTGCAGCTCGCACCGAGCAGAGACAGATGAAACATTACTCGCCCAGCTAGCCTCTTCTCTGTAAGTCAGTCCCATCCTGTTTTCTACAGCAGCAAGCACTGTTTTTAATTATTAGACTGTGATGAATGCAAATAAATATTAGTCTCAGGATTGCTCATGAACAATTCTCTTGGAATAGTCACCAGTTTGGTGTAAGCTTTGTTGGCTTTGCCAAATGCTGCCCTTTCTACTCTGCAAAGTTTTTCTAGAAACAAGAGTGTAATAAATGTACAGTATCAAACAAGTCTGTTCTGGCACAGTATTTGTATGAATAACCATTTTGTGCTAACACCGGTGGAAGCTACGGGGTTTACAGGCATCAGAAAGTCCAACTGCCATTCAAATACTTGCAAATAATGAATCATGTGATCCCACAAATAACAACAAACCAACCTGGTTGCTTTCATTGAGGAAAATGATTATGAATCACTGTGTACTGTGGGCTCAATCCAACAACCACCAGCGTCAAAAGGAGTCTTTCCACGACTTCAAACAGGCAGGGAGCTGAGCTCTGTTTGTTCAGTTTTACTCAGTGTATCCCTCGCTTTCATATTGCATGATTAAATAATAGAATTTATCAGGCAAGCAGGAATTTCCTAGAGCAGCCAAGAGTGGGCAAATGTCATCTCCTGACTGCATATGTGCAGCTCCCACTCATGTCAGTAGGGTTATGCATGGGCAAAATGAGGTCAGGCTGTGTTGTCCTACTTTACGTGCCCTGTGGTATTACACTCAATTAAGTTTTGTCTCCCAGGACACAGCCTCCCTCCCACTTAAGTCACCAAGAACTTTGTCACTACACAGCAGTGCAGGAGAAGGCATGAAATACTGGTCTTTGATCTAGAGTGCAATAAGGTTTAACTCATGTATTTAGGAGCATGCAGCTGCACTTTGAAAAGGAGGGGTTAAATTTAGTAGGAAAAAAAAATCCATGATATGCCAATGTGGGCCGTCTTCAGGAGAAGGTAACAGCTTTGCAAGCTCACGTACAGCCTTGCAGAGTATGGTGGCCTCAGCAAGATCTTCTCCCAAGGCAGCAGGTCATCTTCCCTGCCCTCTGCCAATAGCTCCCCACAGCTCCTTGTAGAAAGATCCTGAATATCATGGGCAACACTTTTTAGGCAGTGCAGGAGAATCAGCCACATCTTCTGTGTGGGTGGCCACATGCTAGACTACTTTGAAAATATTAACCACTGGTTATGAAGTGAAACTATAAATAGCTGTAGGAATGCCAGCTGAAGGAGAAAGCAGTAAAAAAATCCCTCATTACAGACAAACAAG